GAAGTTGCCGGTGAACTGGCCACCTGAGACAACAAATGCGCAGCTTGAGACACGCCATATTGTGGCAAAATGCCAAACCTAGTCAGCCGATACGTGAACGTGCAACCCTGTATGCTTCAGCTTGGGGTTTGCCTCGAGCAAGGACGGGGAGATGAGCAGTGAAAGCCCCTCTGACGGCCCTGAAGCCTGCAAGCCTGCAAGGAAAGACCTCGGCCTGAAGAAGGAGAAGCAAAGCATGAACTGCCGCCACGTAACCGATAATCAGACAACGTGGCTTTGGCGCCATCGCCCGGCTGCTTTGCAAGACTATGGGCTTGCGATCCAAAACCTGCAAATGGATTCCCCTCACTAGGCATCAAAGTGCTTGCAGTGAAAAAGCTGCTGTCCAGGATGTCGTGCAGGTGGCCTTGAAAGAAATGATTTCGTTGCACAATCGAAGCCAATCTACTTCTCCGCAATTGGGAGGTGAAAAGCGATCAACGAATTTCTTTCACCTAGCCTCCAGGGTTGGAGGAACTGGAGCGCGTGGGGCCCCACACAAGCAACCTCAGGCCACATAGCCTCCCGACCCCTCTCGAAGTCCCAGGCTGCCCTGTCTGCTCACAGGATCCCCACCAGCATTGACTGCTCCACTGTACTGGCGCCGCATCTGCGCACTCGAAGGAGCAGAGAAGGTGCCATCACATTGGGCAGCTCGAGACATAATCTTTTGAAGCAGACCACGCCGATCTTCCGAGCCAAGCTTTTCACCAAAGAGCGGCGTCTCGTAGTGGCCATCCTTGAGTATGGGCTCGATGATGACATCGCCCAGCAACTCTGGACAAGGCCGCCTACCGAGGCCGATGTCACTGCAAGCGTGAACGAGGTCGTAGGCAATCGTTTCGGAAACCACCGAATCCATCTTGTAGTCCTTATGGGCATGTACAAAGTTCCGCATCCAAGTTGCTGGAGTCATTAACTCCCCAGTAGCTCTGTCTTTGATCAGCTTCAAGTATTGGTCGAGCCTCTTGAATGAATTCTCGTCACACCCAATGTGCTCCAAATAAGCATAGCACAAAGGCACGAGTCCGGGAAAATAGCAGCTCTTGCCATTCATAATTTCGTCCATCGTCATCTCCTCAAATTGGCTGGACTTGGACTCCCCTTTGGGGCCTTGACTTGGACAAATGTTTTGCATCATCTCGTCAGTATCATCCGGCAGAATGTGCTTGCGGAACCAGAATTTGCTTCGCCGCACGGCATCAACACCATGAGCTCGCTTCATGTTGTCGTCCACCAACGACAGGGGAGCCAGAAGCGTCAGGTTGAAGACTAGGATCGCCCGTGTTACGATGACAATGAAGGCTGTGAATGCTGCATTCTCAAAGTCAGTGAGCTGAACTTCCATTGAACGAAACTCTGTCCTCCAGCCAATGTGAGGAGAGCAAGCAGTGGAAGGTATTGGCGGTGGCTTCCATCGAACTGTCTGCCAATTTGTGGACTGTATGCTTTCGAAATGATCGGTCGACTTGTCATCATCCAACTCCACGTGGCCCTCGAAGACAACCAGCGGATCTCGGGTGAAGAGATGGGAGATGTGCCTCGTCAGCATCTCATCAATCCCCTCCTGGTAAAGGACGGAATCCATCTCCTCATCAACCTCACAGGGGATGTCATTGTAGGCCTTGGAGCCAGGGTGGATGTAGCATGAGATGGAGTCATAGCGGCTCTTGCTTTGTCGTCTTCTCCCTTCCCCAGCCATGAGTGGCTCGGCCTTGAAGTCGCCCTCACCACGCTCCGCCGGTGTGCGGTCGTCGACTGACTGGCTGATGATGTTCCAACGCACATCACTAGCAGCCAGCCTTCCCTTCACCACCGGCGTCGCAGCTGTCAGGGCCATCATGATTGGTGCTAAAACTGCAAGCTGGTCGTACAAAAGCCGCGATTCCTCCATGTCGCTGGCCTGGAAAGTTACTTGCAAACAGCAGCAACCCATGCCAAAGGCCATGCAATCCATCTGAATTGAGGGATCCGTATCACTCTCAAACTCCTTTGTGTTCACATCCTTGAACAAAGGGACTCGAATGTCAACCTTGCTTCCTCTGCGTCGACGAATGTTGCCGGTAAGCGTTCCGAATCTCGGGTGAGGATTGATGCAGGTGTCTGGGACAAACTCCGACTGCGATGCCTCTCCACCAGGTGGAGCGGCTGGATGGACAAAGTCTCCAACGCCCATCATGGGGAATGTCACCAGGGTTGGGGCAATCTCATCCTCGGCAAGAATAGTTAGGAGCCTTCCACGGCGAAGCCTCATGTTCTGCTCAACGCTGACGAGACTCATAGTGTAGCCACCATACGGTAGACTTGGTGTGCCTTCCAGCATCCAGCTGCCATATTCTTGGTGCCAGGCACAGCCTCGAAAAGCATTCATGTCCTGCTCCTGCTTCCGCAGGGTTTCCATGACCTCAGGACCCCGCAAGCTCAACCTCACTCTCTTGCTGGCAGGGTCAACCTTCAAAAGAGCATATTCGATCTCGTCGCCATAGAACAAGCGATCATTCTCAAGATGCTGTAATCGCCTGTATGTGGCAATGAACTGAAGAACACCGTGGCGACGAATGTAGTGGCAGTGCTCTAGGGAATCATTCCAGTGTAAAGGCTTGCCAACCTTTAGCAAACCCATGGCTCACCTCGCCTCCATGCTAGGCCAACACATGCTTTCATGCTCGGGCCCAAAGAGAAACGAGCCATCGGATGTGGGAGAGATATGATGCAGCGGATCACGCCAAGAAGCTTTGCAAGGAAGGCTTTAAAAAAGCAATCCTTGAATCAGCATGAAGAAGTCCATGATGTGGGCACCTAAGTCAGGGCAAGAAAGCTAAAGCGGAGTAGGCTTGTGCAATGCTGGGAGTCCCCCATGATATCACGTCATGGTACCTTTCCATCCACTCATCACGTGTGTGGGCAAGCTACCCTCTGAGTTCTATGACCCCGCCAAGGCCGTGTCCAGCTGTGTGGTACAAACAGTTACAGGCTGTCAAAGGCCTGACTGATGGGGCCGGGTGATACTTCCAGTTATTGTGGAAACGAGGCATTTTAATCACTCAGCTGATTCACATTGGGAATCAAACTGGCAACCTAGCTTGCAGAACATTGATTGCATCAGACGTCAAGATTGCGCATGGGGACGTAGGAAATGCTGGCTCCTGGTCGGCACCCCTGATCAACTCGAAGATGCTGGGAACTCACGCTCTGCCTGGAGCCAGCAGCTTGCGCGGAACAGTCAGAACCTGAAGCGTTCGTGGCAAAACATTGGAGAGACCGGTGCAGATGATGCCGGACACAAAGGGCCTCTATGATTGGAGCCAGGAAGGTCCAGCACATCAAGAAATTCCTGGCAGTAGTGCTCAAGCACCTGCCTCCAAACGCTTTGTCACAAGGTAGTTATGCAGCCAGGGCTCCCGGTTCCATCAGCAGTGATTGGAACAGTTGACCCATCCTGGGACATGCTGACCAGGTTTCACGTGCGCATTGTGAGCGGGAAGCGAGCCAGGCAAGTGACAGGCTCCACCAAATGTGCCACTGGCCAGGTGAAGGGAAAAGAACCCTCCCACGCGCCAACCTGGGCGACACTGAAGAGCAACTAGAGAAGCTGACGAGGCTGCAGTCTTCGGCCCTGGCCACCTGGACGCCACCCTCTGTCACAGCAGGGATTCGATCACCTCCCAGGTAAACACCCAAGCCTGTGAGATCGTTGGCATCCCTGCACTGCCGGCCTTGTATCCTGGCTACTATCGGGTGATAATCTTTGAGCTGCAGCAGGTAGATGAGGAAGCACACGGCCATCACAAGAACCCAAGCATGCGACACCAGAGTTGCGAAATATACCTGGGACCGCCAAATACTACTCGCAAAGCGATACAAAACATGCTTCACCAAATTACAATGACTTCGGTGCGAAGCATCACAGTCCATAACTTATGAGCCACGGCTCTCGATTCCACATTCCAGCATCCCTTGGCTATTGCTGCTCGTGATCTCACTTCACTGCTTGCTGCACAAGTCTTGTAGCATCTTATGAAGCTCCAAGGGCAGAACCAAACCTTCAAGACCAGCTCAACTGGTCTCATACGCTAGCTGCACCGCAATCTAAAACAAGTCCAGCCATGCCCAGGAAATGGCACAAAAAGGCTCTGGGCAAAGAACTACGTCTGCTGTGGCCCGCTTCGCTCTGATCCCTCCTGTCTACGCTCCCATAGGCAAAGCCTCAATCTATATTTACGGCCGATGCAATCCAAAAGGCCAGTGCTTCTTGCAAAGAAGCCAGTACTCCAAAATCAGTCCGATCTTGAAGATGCCTTGGCCTGAGTGAAACCGTGTTCACTACATCATCTTGAGCGAGATCACACACACACAATTGCTGAGGCTTGAACCGAATAAAGTAAATGCAAACCCCAGCGTATGAATCATGCATTTGAGGTAGTCGTCCTGAAACGTCAAACTATCGTGGACTTGAAGGTAAAATCGGCCAACCTGCAGGAGGGCCCTTCCAGCATCAACAAGACCAAGTAAGCCAGGAGACAGGCGGCACCGCGAGCGCAATGGTCAGCGCTGCGTTGCCCACGCCTGCCCCTGCCTCACCAAGCCCGTCCATGTACAGCATAGCAGCAGCATACCGAATGCTAAATACTGCTTGCTTGCGAGAGGCCATCAAGCATCCCTTTCTGATGAGCTTCAGCCCACCTTCATCATGGTGTGCCTTGAAAGCCTGACGACCGCTTTTTCATACAAAGGCTAATGAGCAAAACAAGGTTGCTTGTCTCAAGTGCTTCCGCGGTGCATGAAGAGCAGCCGTTAAGCAAACCTGGGAAAGACTACACTGCTTCAGGAACGTTCAGTGCCAAAAGGGAAGAGCGTTTTTTGTTTCTGGTGACTGGTCTTTTTTGTTGTTTGGGCGGTTCTTTTTGTATTTTTTTGTGCTGTTTGGACGGTGGCGTGTTTTTATTGCTGTTAGGCCGGTGGCATGTTTGCTTTATAAGCAACCAAGCCACGACCCCGCCCAAACAGCAAAAAACATGCCCCTGCCCAAACAGAAGGGAAAAAAAACTCCACACGCCGCCCTTTCCCCGCCCCAAACAGAAAAAAAACTCCCGAGGACGCTCCACGCGAGCGCTGCGTTTCAAGGCAAAACGCGAAGACACCCCACGCGAGATCCATTTCAACAAAAATGTGAGGTCGCTCCTTGCCAGACCTTGCCTTTGAGCAAAAGTGCAAGGACGCTCCACGCGAGTGCACAATTTCGGGGCAAAATGCGCATGCACGCCACACGAGAGCTCGAATAATAGTAATATGAAAAATGATGATGACCTTAGAACAATAGTAATGAAAATAATCAGAATGCGAGAACCCTCCACGCCAGAGCTTTATTTTCAACGAAAATGTGAACGCTCCACGCCAGAGCCTGATTTTGAGCAAGAGTGTGAGGACGCTCCACGAAAGAGCACAATTTCAGCGCAAAATGCGAAGACACTGCACGCGAGAGCTCGAAGAATAGTAATATGAATAGTGGTGATGATCCTTATTGTCATCATGCTCAATTGCCATAATAATAGACAATATTAACAATGGCAACTAGAACAATAGTAACTAAAAAATCAAAATGCGAGAATGCTCCACGCGAGAGCTCTATTTTCAACAAAAATGTGGACGCTCCAAGCCAGATTTTTCTTTGGAGCAAAAGTGTGAGGACACTCCACGAGAGAGCACAATTTCAGAGCAAAATGCCAAGACGCTGCACACGAGAGCTCGAAGCACAGGAATATCAATAACATATGACACTAAAATTATAATACCCTATAATCGTAAAACATTATTCTTAAAAGCAATACGAATGATCATAAATTATTTTGAGTTTTTCGTGTATTGGGATTTGGAGTTGTGTTGGTAGGTGCTTTGTGTTTTGGGTTGTGCTATTTGTTTTGTTGTGAGTTGAGGAGTGCTTCGTGTTTTGGTGTTTTGAAGGGTTGAGGTGGGAGGCGGGTTGAGAATTGAGGTGAAAGTATAGGGGGGAGTATAGGATGTGAGGTGTGGGGTTAGCCTATGCTTGCTCTAGCACCCCTCCTGCGTGTACCACCCCTGCCGCGGCGAACAAATCCTACTACTCCTACAAAGTCTTGCAGCTACTACATGTGCCACCAGCGCCATTACAAACGTCATGCTTCTGCCTCAGGCGCTGACAACTGGCACGCACAAGGTAAATACTGCAGCTGCAACTGGTCTCGCTGGCCATGAGTCGAAACCAATGCAGACATTGTAAGATTTGAACATTCCTCGGCAAGTCGACACGGACGGCCAGGATCACGGCAACTTCTCTGCACATTTGCCATTTTAATCAAGCTTCTTGTAATGTTGTTGTCGAACACGAATGTGGGCTGCGCTAGGAGTGTCACTACCCAGGCAAGTCCAAGCATTCCAAAAAGCATGAAATCCTTGGATCGGAGCAAGCATGGCAATGCTGAACTGCTAAGATTGGATCTGTTGCAAGCAAGCATCAAACAGTAGAGCGGTCAAGCAGGGAGAGAGGGGGAAGTCTCCTGCAAGCGTCCTGCGCGTCAGAGCCTCTGTGTTACACCGAGATGCCACCACATTGAGCTTGCAACTCATGATGCAGGGGAACGGCTTGTTTGCAACTCGCGCAAATGTGCAATATGGTGCTGGGTGGTACCTGAGAACATGTGATGGGTTTGGATAGTTTGGGTAGTTTGGGGGCTCCCGGTGGTGCCCCAAACTAGCCAAACTGAGTGGGGTTTGGATAGTTTGCATCCTCCGCACAGACCGGAAAAATAATCTGGAAGGTTCCGGAATAGCTCCACGGTACTTGAGTGACCTTGCTTCCCCTCAAACTGCGCATCAGCTGCGGACATGAGTCATGATATGCCGTGTGTCCTCTGTATAGTATGTACATTCCATTTTGCGGTGGCAATTTCATCTTCCATCGAAACCTGCAAGTAGGCAAAGACATTTGCAACCTCAATTGCACTGAGGCCCGTGTCCTAGCAGTGCAGCCTCTACCGGAAGCTCCAGCAGGCAGCAACCCCAGCACAACTCCAATGCGCAGCATGCTGCTTGGGCCAAAAGCTGCCACAGCTTTGCCATGATCTTTTGGCAGTTCTGCTTGCTACAAAAATCACGGGCATCTGAGTACCACGCAGTTTGCACACGCACTGAATGATTGTAGGAGGCGCGTCTAGCTGCACCGTAGGACATTGGACCAGGCTGCTTTTGGGCCATGAGGCAAGTGGATGACCGCACAATCTCTTTGAATGCACCCACACAACGTAGGCATGCAACAGGAAACATGGCGGGCACCAGCAACTCAGCCGCTTTGTTCTCTTTGCCGTCCCTGCCTCCACCCAGGTGATTGTGGCTGAGCAAACTCTCTTTGACTACAAACCACGCAAACACCAACACACCCGTCGGGGTTGCTCCCCGTGGCCCGGCAATGGTGCCAGGTCAAGGGTCACCCCCACGAGGTCAGGAGTAGCGCCAATTCTTTGCCAACTTGCACGTCCCCCAGAGAGCCTCTCTTCTTCTATAGGCTATGCAGCACCCAGAGGTACTGCAGGGGCGAGCCCGCAAGTCTACCGCGTCCGGTCAGCTCCCAGGAGGTGCTGGATACGCACCGCTCTCTATCTCTCCCTCTCTTCTTCTTTGGGTAATGCAGAGCCTAAGTCCCTGCTGGGGTTAGGCCCCAAGCCGGCACATGTCGGGTCCACAGTCTGTGCCCAGGCCGTCCGGAGTAATACGCGTTCTGGTTGAGTATTACTTCCCAAAAAGTAGCCCTCTTTCTTCTTCTTCTCACTGCTGCACCCCCCGGGCATTTCCCCAGGCAGGATCTGTCCCAACGAACGTCGACAGTGGCAGGTCCCGATTACTGAACGTAAACCTGGACACGCAGACACACAGACAGAAACTAACAGCCCCGATCACAATAAGCTTCATTGAGCACACCCTACCCTGACGGCTTGATCAGTCACTCTGTGCATCAGGTAGCTGGACCACCACTAGCTGCGTGTGCCTAAGGCGTGGCTTAAAGAAGGCAATGTAAAACAACAAGAGCCGTCGCGACGGCTAATACTATCCCCCAGGCCATCTCTCAGCCTCTCTCTCTCTTCTTCCGCTTCACGGGCTGTGCATACCCTTGCGGAGATGCTGAGGCTAGGCCTCAAGCTCCCCAACTATACTTTCTAGAATCTAGAATTCGTACGGCAAGTGCTTATAAGAATCTCCTTGCTTCTCCAGGTGGGTATGAAAAGATTGTTGTGCCTTTACATCTTCAACTATCCCCATAATACTATGTCCCCATGCGGTCGGACACACCCTTCCCATCCCTTCCCCAATTTCCCATTTATCTGCACTGCTGGCAAAGCAATGAGCTGCACGCCTGAGGGGGGTTTCGGAGTTCCTCCCAGCTGTTTTGTAAGTTTCACTTCTTCTCTATCTTCTTCTTCTCACTGCTCTACCCCTCCCGAAGGAGAGGCTTCTTCTCTATCTCTCTCTCTCTCTCTTCTTCTTCTTCTTCTTCTCCCTGCTCTACCCTCCCCACATGGAGAGGGCTGGGGCCCGGCCCCAAGCAGCTCGGTCTCTGGCAGGCAAACTGTCCCAGGTCCCGACTACCAAGCATGCAGGGAGCCACGGAGACGTTCCAAGAATAGATTCAGCCCAGGATGCCTAATGACTCAAGAGCATGTTCCCATGCGGCTCCCAGTATGCCCCTCGTCGCTCTCTCTCTCTCTCCTCCTCCTCCTCCTCACTGCTCTACCCCCCACGAAGTGGGGGTCTCTCTCTCTCTCTCTCCGTGCACGCTTGGACACCACCTCCTCTCTGTAGTGTGCACTGTTTTGGTGGGCAGGCACACCGAGCACCACTGCAGCAGAGTGCGAGGAATCGTGACAGCCTTTTGAATTTTGGTCATGTGGGATTGTTCTCCTGACAAACCAAACAGGACAGGCCGGTAGCATCATCACTGCCAACACAAAATTCTAGAGCTACATCCCGCAGAACTCTGCCGACTGCCTACGCTGGCCTATAGCTCGAAATGCTTGCATCATCAATCCAAAACTGGCAGCTAAGACTAAAACCTGCGAAGCAAGATGGAAATATGGAGGGTGTCGAGAGGCTGGAACCAAGCCCGCGGCATGATGCGCCTGAACTTTGAGGCACCGAGGTAGCAGCAGACTTGGGTGTCTGTGCTGCTTGTGCGCCCCGAAGCCTTATCGAAAGAGGACAATGTCTCTGGCGAATGTGTCTGAGTCTGGATTCTTTCTTGAACCTTGTATCACCTTTCTATTATATTCTCATATATTCCCTGCCCAAGACCACCACAAGCGAGGAGCTGAGACAAGCACACCACGGACGGAGCTGTGCCAAGACAGTCCTGGCTGTGCATTGGCTTGGTCACTGCTTGCACGTTCTCTCCTGCTCCCTCCTTCGGGCGGAAACCTTTTGCCACAGTTGCGCAGACATAGTTTGACCTACTGGAACAACGAGGTGAAGTCGCCCGCCACTGCTTGAGAGAGAGCTACATCCAAGCAACCCAGCACATGTCAGGGGGCTCGGCAAGTCCCGAATAATGCCTTTCTTGTCCGCAACCTTGCACTGTTGGCAGGAAACGGCCTCTTGGTCTTGACAGTGCATCCACCTGCTCGAGCAACTCTGAGGCATGCTGTGTCGGGAGTCGCAGGAGAGCCTAGCAAGTCGCAAGTTGTTCTCAAGCCGAGTCAGATTGCACTCTATTCAACCAACGATTGTCCGCTGGCGACTGGCAAAACGGAAATACCACCATCAACAACCTCACACAATGCTGCCTTGACCGCATCCGAGTTAAGGTTGATGCCAGCCTGGCGCACAGCCTTACATTTCATTTCCGATTTGGCGCGTTGCCGATGATATCCTTCTCAACTTTCATCATGCCAACAGTGGACGCCAGCCGTGACGCAGCCACGTTGATGTCCTTGCAAGTAACGTGCTCTGGACTTAGGCGGACGACTATCAGGGTGAAGGCTCCAATCCAGGATCCAAATATGTCCAAATACAAAGAACAGCACGTTTCAGTCCGGACTAACTCTCGGTTCACATGCAATTTACCAGGCTGTTGGCACCAAGCAAATCAAATGTGAACGACGCATATTGGTGCACTTTATGATCATATTTGTTAGCTCATTTTGTAGGATTGCGGACACACCAAACACCGCTCTGCTTTAAACGATGGTTTGCATGCTGTCTATCACTGTGGAGAAGATGCGCAAAAATAACAAATCAGTCAGCTGATCTGCACTCTTCGCGGCATGTTTTTTTTGATTTCGGAACAATGCGCTCTTGAATCTGTGCAATTTTAGGTACACGGCACACACTGCACAGCTTCGAACAATCACGGGCTACTTGGTTGGTGTGGAAGGGGGTGCACCACCACCCGGCCACTACCCGCCCTGCCCCCCCGCCATTCGCCGACCACCTCCCCCCTCACCGCCCTTTCCCTTGCAAACCCCCCTTAAACTGTGCTTCGAATTAATTATTTGTTGATTGGATTTCTATTCATCGCAAATGGCTCCAATTAACTTGTATCTTTTTAGGTTTCAATCAATTTATCAATTGATTTTGAAGGGATCTTCTTCTTTCTCAATAATTCTAATTTGAATTTGTGGACCTTCATGACTTTATTTGGGCGCTGCTTAATTTTACATATTTTACTTGGGTTTTAACTTATGAAACTTGGAGGATAAAGCTGTCACCGCTTTGGGGGTCATATGGGATGGTACGACGGTTTGGGGCGCATGAATGGGACATGGGTCAGGCACGGTACGGGTGCATGGGACGTAGGTGCAGTACATACATGCCATTGTGGAGGTGACAGTGCCAACTACAGGGTGAAGCACTTGGTTCGCAGGCTGGCGCACGCGCGCTTTCACACAGAGAGAACCACGAACGTTTGGGGGTGTCTTGATGCGCACCGCGCAAGTTCAGCAATGCGCTTCGACCACTGAATTCGCCTAAGTCTTTAAACCGTTTGTGTTCATACGCTCCGAAGCAGATTTCCTTTCGGCATTCGAAGTCCCGGTCGCTCCTTCAAGTAATATGCACCTGCTTGGCCGTGCAAAGGTCGTTGGTCTTCACAATTGTCATGGCAAGGTTTTAGATCTTCTACTGCACAACCGTTCGGCTTGCTCTAAGAAGTGTCGGTTAGTGCAAAGACCCCATCCACAGCCACTATGGGACCATGTTGCACGCGATCCTTCCCCAAATCTCAACCACCTGCACTGGCCCGACATGCACACCTGGACCACCCGCAATACACGGATGCACCACAAGGTACCAATGACCAGTACCAGATGTACCGGGGGTGCGTACCAGGGACATGTGCCAAGGGATGTACCAGATTTACAATTACCGGCACAATGTCACAGCAAATCTAGTACATGTCACG